AGGGAGGGAGCGAGCGAGCGAGCGAGGGAGGGAGGGAGGGAGTGAGTGAGTGAGTGAGTGAGTGAGTGCGTAAGTGACCGAGCGAGACACAGAGAGAGAGAGATAGAGAGAGAGAGAGACGGAGAGAGAGAGAGAGAGAGAGAGAGAGAGTGAGTGAGCGAGTGAGTGAGTGAGCGAGCGAGTAGGTGAGTAAGTGAGCGAGGAGGGTGCAAGTACACGAGGGTTAAAGTAACTAAGGTGTAGGAGACCCGCTCAGAACAACGGATTTTGAGCAGCTTCCTGGGTGTCGGTGTTGAGCGTTAGGGTTGGGGCGGTTTCGACTGGGGCGCAATAGACTCAAGCCTCAAACCCCACAAACCCTAAACCCAAACCCCGTAGCCCACAACCTAAGGCCCTGAGCCTTTGAAGCAATTAAACCCACCGTACCTCGAACCGAACCCTACACCCTAAACCCTTTTGCAAAGCGGGCGATGAACACCCCACCCTGAGGCTTCATGAAACCTTTACCCTTGTTTCATGAGAGATCCCTTTACTAGACACCAGAATCCAAGAATCCAAAACGTGAGAAGATCCCCAGAAGCGCAGAGGAGTGAGGATACCTCAACAAACTTAGACAACCAGAACCCTGGGGCTTAATATAGGGGCCTTGATAATTAAAATAGGGCTTTGGGGTATACTATACTATAACACTAGTATAGGTAATTATACAGGCTCCTATGTTTTGAAATGCTCCACCTCAAAGCCCTCGACCAGCTACCCTCAACGCCCCACCAGACCCTATTAAATCTCATTGAAAAGCCTCACGGAACCCGACCAACTACAAAAAGTCTACAACACCCAAAAAGTAGACCTAAAAAAACACAACTAAACTACAACACCCAAAAGGAGACCTAAAAAAACAACTAAACTGACCTTCAGCTCATTGTTTGCACCTGCAAAGTCCACGGCAAACTCGTTGGAGCCGGGTATCCTCAGAGCCGACGGCTGCAAAGCTTCATCAGGGCCCTCTTTGGCTAATGTAGGGGCCTTAAGAATTAGAATAGGGTGTTGGGGATTCCTTGTCGTAATTATAGTATGATATACCCCAGACCCTATTCGAATTATTCAGGCCCCTAGATTGCTGCTTCCGTTGTGTTACAAGGGAATCGTCGGTCTGCTTTGGGGCTTAATGGCTATCTTTTCAAACGGATTGTGATAAGAGCGCTATCGGCGTTGGAAGGTGGGTGCCACAAGTGCTGCATGTTGGATGTATCGAACTTGAACAGGCTTTGCTTTGTCGGCGCAACGTAGGTGGCACCAAAGGTTCCGTCCATGTGGGTAGTTGTCAAAATTATGGGCCCTATTGGGGTACCCTAAATAATAGGTGCCGTATTATAAAAAGGACCCAAAAAGGGACCATAATTTTGACAACTACCCATGTGAAACAAGAGAAGAGACCTGATACATCACCTCTGTCCCGAGTTCAACCAGGTCGACAGGCCAATCTCGCAACCCCCCGAGGCCTACAGCACGAGGAAAACCGAAGCGGTATACCCGGTTTAGGGTTTAGGGTTTTGGGTTTAGGGCGCCAAGCAGCAACCGCTTCTCATGCAGCGAGACGGGGCAATGGAGCCTGGCGAATATAAATGATGGCTCACTGCTGATACCGAAAAAGCACGTATGAAGGCTATCCATAACGGTGCAGAATTCAACATTAAGGCTCATGAACCCTAAACTTTAAACCCTAATAACCCCGAAACGGACGTTTGTAGAGTTTAGGCTTTAGGGTTTAAGCTTCATGTGCGGGGCCACGGGGTTGCACAGCGGCGGAACTACAAATTACGCTACTTTCCCGCCAACTACTTGTGACTACTTCCTTGAACCCTAAACCATTAGCCTGTACCCCCCAAACCCTTGTAGAACCCTTAACGCTCAAGAACCTCTGAAGAGTACCGAAAGGAAGGCTAATCTCCTAAACCCAGTCACGTAAAGGTTCGCAGCTCTGGCTAGGATTCAGCGGCAAGCGGCAAGGGCCTCTGACATGTAGGATGCTCAGCGGAAAACCCTGAAACCCTAACCTCTGGCAGGCAGCCCGAGCACGGTTGAGCATTGAGGTTTTCCTAGGGCTGTCATGCACATCTGCATGCAGTTGCCTGTCTTTACCACAAAGCAGGCGATCGTGCTAGAATTGCCATTTTTGCGGGTGCTCCTGAAGGTACAGCACTTTTTTAAGCCTTGCACACCCCGTAAATGGTTGGGGCGATGTGGTCAGGGTGCTCATGGAGTACTGGAAGAATCCATTCAGAACCTGTTCAAGTCAATGTCTTCGCGGATGTCCACGTTTGTTGGCCTTTGTAAAATTCATTCTCTCCTGTACACCTGCGAGAAAACCACGTAGACCCATAACCCGCAGGTTATGTGTGCAAAAAGGAGGACGTTCTGACTGCTATACACATCCAGACGTCGATAGTTTGAACTGCTTGGTGTCCACGGTACGCTCTACCTCAAACCGGAGTAGGTGATCACGGAAAAAGCCACATATTTCAATGCGTTTATTGATGGAGGGGGTGTGACCACCGTTGCGGGCAATGTCGTGTGGCACTCGGCAGCATCTGGATTTCTTTGTTCGTTCCCACCCGAGGCTACTGCTTGCAGCACACCTGTTTCAGCTGGTGGCGGGTTACCCTAAACCCTAAACCCTAAACCCCCCTCGTTCCCACAGCAGGTAGGAGAGGTCGTGCTACAAACGAGGGCTGGCACCATTGCGGCGGCGCAGGTTCTGCCTGAGCGCGTAAGTGCGGTATGCTCGTACCCAGAGAACCTAATACCCCTTAAATAAGGAGTATACCTTAAATCATAATATTCAGGCCCCTATAATGTAAGGTATATACCTTAATTAAGGGGTGTAGGGTTCTCTGGGCATAAGGCTTCCTTTCAGCAGACTTCCGCTTGCCGCCTGCTAAGGCGCACATCGCGAAAGCGAATCCGCTGCTGCGCATTCATGGCATTAGGGTTTAGGGTTTAGGGTTTAGGGTTTAGGGTTTAGGGTTTAGGGATAAAAGAGAAGCAACAATGTAAGACCTACGCACCTATGCCGTGAGCCAATGTCTGACTCCAAGCGGCTACAAGTTTAAGATTTACAAGATCGGTTGAGGGGTTCGGGGTTGTTGTAAACGATTCAAGCCTAATGTAGGGGCCTTAATAATTGGAATAGGGTGTTGGGGCCCATTATACTACAAGTACAATAAGGAACCCCCAAAATGATATAGGTAATTCTCTAAACTAGGGTCCCTTTTTAGGTCCCCAATATAGTACGCCACCCTGATGAAAAGGACCCTAAAAGGGACCCCTAATTTTGAGAACTACCCATATAGGTAATTCTTCAGGCCCCTATATTAAGCCCTAAACCCTATAAACCCTATAAACCCTATAAGCCCTAAACCCTAAACCCTACCAAAAATAGTTTAGGCCCCAAAATTAAACCCCTAAACCCTATAAACCCTATCAGCCCTAGACCCTAAACCCTACCAAAAATAGTTTAGGCCCCAAAATTAAACCCCTAAACCCTATAAACCCTATCAGCCCTAGACCCTAAACCCACCAAAAATAGTTTAGGCCCCAAAATAAAACCGTAAACCCTAAACCCTATAAACCCTATCAGCCCTAAACCCTAAACCCACCAAAAAATAGTTAGTTTAGGCCCCAAAATTACAACCCTAAACCCTATAAACCCTATCAGCCCTAAACCCTAAACCCTAAACCCTAAACCCTAAGCCCAATTATTTAGGCCCCAAAATTAAACCGCTGTCGCTTGAGAGCTGATGCCTCCACGGAGACCATCGTCGGCTCTGCTGGGCATCCTCAGTCGGTCTTTCGGTCTTAGGTGTCGGGGGTTAGGGGTTTTTAGGGTTTAGGGTTTAGGGTTCTTTCGGTCTTAGGTTTTGGGGGTCAGGGGTTGAGGGTTTAGGGTTTAGGGTTCTTTCGGTCTTAGGTTTCGGGGGTTAGGGGGTTTGAGGGTTCAAGGTTTAAGGTTTAGGGTTTAGGGTTTAGGGGTTCAAGGTTTAGGGTTTCGAGTTTGGGGTTTAGGGCTTAATTCAGGGGTTTGGGGTCTAGGGTAAGCGGGGTTTCGAGCTTCGGGCTTGATCTTCTCGTTGATACAACTTCGGATTGGAGAGTCTCCGGATCAAAGGGCGAAGGCTTTCGGCAAGCATTGGCAGGCTCAGGGGTAGAAGCACCTATGGTTATACCCTATCTGTGGGTATAAGCACTAGTATGTGTAGCTACCGCAACTATAGCTCTGGATACTAAGTCCCAAGATCATATGAGCAACCATAAGCCCCACTGTAGGGCCTTAGTGATGAGTTCAAGCACATTAGGGCCGATGCCCGCAACGAACGACAAAGATTCCACATGCATTCGCTTTAGGGTTTCGGGGCGTTCAGTGGCTTGAGAGGCTTGGTGCTTCTGGGGAGGTGCTTGTTTGGAGTCCTGCGCAGCATAACCCCAATTAGGGCACTTGCAACCCTACAGCCTAAAGCCTAAACCCTAAACCCTAAACTCTGCCTACTTACTCGCGGGTCAATGGCGCTATTGATCCCTTTGTAGCAGTGACCCCGGGCCGGCTCTGAGCCCGATGGTGGCTTCTGGTTGTCTGTCGACGAGGAGGTGAGGCATGTGATGGTCCGTTTGAAGACCCTGGCTGAGCCTCTAAAGCCTTGCAATACCCATCTGAGCGGGCAACGCCCGAAAACAAACGAAAAGGGAAAGCCGTGGCCTCAAGGCGCTCCCGCAGAGGGGCACGCATGGGCAGCTTTGATGCCCAATGCAACTTATCGCGCAATCCCATAAAAGTGCGGCCGCCGGTCAGGGTCACGCCGATCGGCCGAGGCGTTTCTTAGTTCTGGAGGCCTAGGGTTTTTCAGCCGTGAAGACGGGCTCGGCATCGGAAAAGGTGCAACGTGGCCTCGCCAGTACGGTTCTTCCTCTTCTATATATGATTCCTCCTCTAACGCCCGCCGTGCCGTGGCTTTCATCTGCTCTTGATGTAGTCCCATCCCTAAGTCCTAAAACCCTAAACTCTAAACTCTAAACCCTAAAAACCCTTGACCCCTAAACCCCTAAACCCTGAACCCTGCACCCTGAACTCTAACTCCTAAACCCTTGGAAGGTCTGCAAGTTGGGATATCGGCCCCCAAGGAGGCTCTTCCGGCGTTTCCTCCCGGTGCCAGAACTCCAGACTTACTCCGTCCCTTGGGCTTCGAACCTTGGGTTTAGGGTTTAGAGTTTAGGGTTTAGGGGTTTAGGGGTTAATGCAAGACGTCTGCGGACCATCCAAGCGAGAAGCACGCCAAGATGCTATAATAGGGGTTTAGGGTTTAGGGTTTCGGGGTTTAGGGGTTTAGGGTTTAGGATTTTGGGGTTTAGGGTTTAGGGTGAATCCTGCTGCTGATGATACAAATCTTGCATTACCCTAAAAACCCTAAGCTATGAGAGTTATGGTATATTCCTGATTATGAATAATGCAGGCTTTATATCATTCACAGTAGTGCTTTGGGGGCAGGGGATCGGGCTTTGGGGATGCTCAGCTGAACCCCTACCACTCAAATTACCTTCAGGCTTTCCATGTAGAGTTTAGGGTTTAGGGTTTGGGGCCGATGCGTGTGACGGGGCGGAGCATTCATCGAACAGCTCACAACAACACGGGTGCAACATGCGACGCGCATTTAACTTGACATCTCAAAGGTCAGACGTCAGATGATCAACTGCTAAACCCAAGTCGAAGGAGCCACATTAGGGGTTAGGGGTCAGAGGAGCTTAAACCCTAAACCCCAAACCGTGTACGCCATAACCCTAAACCTTAAACCCTTAAACCCAAAAATCCTAAACCCTAAACTTTGTACTAAGTCTATACTTCCTTTTTCGCAATGGCTACACCGTAATCACGCCCCTAATTGACTAGCCTATGTAGCCTCACACTCTCCTGACTGCTAC